AGTGGCCAAGGAATGTGTGTGAATGCCCTCGCTTTCATGGTGCCAGCATCTCTCCAGCAATGTGCAGCCTCCCAAAATAAAAAATTGCAGCATTCATACCAAAAGAGAGAGAGAGAGAGAGAGAGGTTACTATCCTTTCACCTTTAATGTTTTAAAGGCAATCTGGATCCAGCGGCATCCATTGGGGGAAGGGGCTGGTGGTAAAAAAAACAGGCAAGATGGCAGAAGCAGCTTCAAGATGTTGTGTTCGCCGTCTTGCCATTTTAGACATCTCCTCCATCCCATCCCTGTGGACACTGGAAGGATCGGCTGACAAATAACATGGGCTTAGTTGGGTAACAAGAAAGTATTGGCCCCCAGCTTCCTTACCGATGATAGGTTTTCTTCTCTTCTCCGTCCTTGGCTGGGCCGACTGATGAAAGACCTTGCAGAAAGTTTGTAGTGGTTCAGCAGGCACGTGATGACAACCACCATGACCATCATGACCACCACAATTATGATTATCTGTACAAACTCCAACTCCGCTATAAAAGAGAGACAAAGAGACAAAGACTGTATTTTGACAGGCCTCGATACAAACCAGCAGCAGACAAATAAGAGCAAGGGGAAAATTCTGAGGACAACAGTAGATGTTCAGAACAATTAGTTATAAGAAGTAGCACCTCAGTATTATTTTCCCTGCTTTGGGCGGCATGCCTTTTTTCGAGTGTGAGCTTGAGAACAAGGAAAATCTCTTTGTACTATCTGCAAACTGTGCAGGGAATCCACCTGAGCGAAGAGTGAGAAGTAGATGCTTTCTATAAGGCACAAAGGAATAATCTCTGTGATGTCACGAAGTGAAAGGAGAAGCATGGCTAAATGGTGGTTTGCAGGGTTCTGGACAAATCCACTGCCCAAAGGGATTTGAAAGTGGCATTATGCACAAACCTTCTCAACATCCCCTTCAGAGGTATCATGCAAAAGGAACAGAGAGACAATATTCATGCTCAAAGATGCCCACAGATTAGCTGAATCTTCCAATGTAAGAAAAACTAATCATGTAAGGCAACTAGACAACTACTGCTAGCAAAATAATAATAATAATAATAATAATTTTAAAAAAACATACAGCGTTAAAAGTACTACCAGGAATATCAACTTCAAACTGGCAATTAAAAAACCTCTCTCCGCCAATCCACAGTAACTTTTGCAGTGAATAAATTAAGGCAACCTAGTGGAAGTGAGTAAGGTAGAACTTGGAAGCGTGAGAATTTTTGAATTTACCAAACAAAAGGTGCCATCTATTACTAAAAGGAAATTCCACAGTTTAATCAGAAAGTGAAAGGGAGGCTAATCCCACCCTCAAATTTATTAAAGGATTCTCTAAGGTTCAGGAGAAGGGGGTTGTTTTAATTCTGGCATTCTTCCTTTGGGGTAAATACAGCATTATTCTATCACTTTTTCAAGTAAGACATTAGCACAAAGCCTTAAAAATGCACAGGTATTTGACTTTTTTGACCTGCTATGGCCAACCCTCCCTGCGTCCACCCTTCTTTTCCCTGTGGTGCAAGAGGTTCCTTCCAGATGGTCAACTGCAGCATTCACACTCACAGGGCACCAATCCACTGAATGACAACAGCCTGACTGATGGAAAGCACCCCCCCAAGGTCTTAGCCCTCCACTGAAAATGCAGCCGCTTTTCTTAACCTCTGCCGATTCCAAGCTGATCCCCAGGGGTCTCCGCGTGCCAGACTTCCAGACGTAATTTAATTCAAGGCTCAGTTCAGCCAGCTGGCAGAGGCAGCTTGAATGACCTGAGCTGGCACAAAAGTGTATCTATCGCAAAGGGAGGCAGGAGGAGAGGAAGACGTGCAAAGCTGTCAAGGAAACAAGAGCGAGCAACAACAGGCTACTTGTGAGTTTGAGGGAGAGAAGAAGGGAGAGCGCACAAGCCTTGGTCAGAGATAAGTCCCTGAGTTAAATTCCACTCACTTTGGAGGGGGCAGAAGCTGATGCCAGAGACAGCCACATCTGGCAGGTTAAGCCCAGGGAGAAAGCTGATGCTTCTCTGTCCTGTCTGGGGGCCAAGAGATCAACACTGTGAAGCCCAACAGATGCTTCATGGTCCTCCAGGTGGAATGGAGCAATTGTTCTTTCCCTTGTAGATGGCATGTTGAAGGGAGCTAATATGAGTCCATATCTTAATTGGCCTTACATTCGGTGTAGATCAGTGCTTCTCAAACTTGGCAACTTTAAGGCAGCTTGCTGGCTGGGGAATTCTGGGAGTTGAAGTCCACATGTCTTGAAGTTGCCAAATTTGAGAAACACTGGTGTAGATGAAGGGTAATAGGAAGCTGTTCATATATTGATTGCTTGGTTTCTTTAAAACAGCAACTAAAGTAGGGTGTATGCGTGTGTGAGAGAGGGAAAGATTGAAATTATGAGGGAGGGTCTGCCAAAAGAATCACAACAACACTGGGGAGACATTTAATCCTCCCAGTTCGGTCCTTAGCACTTTCTCCTGTACTTTCCAGTTTTAACTGAAGGGCAAAATTAGGCACTCTATCTCCAGGCTGCAAAAATCTGGATGACCACTTGAGAGCAGCACAGATACAGGACATTCTGACTCTTTGCTCCCATCTCGTGGTTGTCTGGATTTTTGCAGCCTAGAGATATGCTCCCCAAAACTAGACATGTTAAGACTTGCTCCACAATGAGCAGTGTGTGGCTTCACAGTCCGCACTGGAGATCGATCAAGGCAAGTCCATATACCAAGTGCTGTCACCGTTACATACGGCTAGTGGGAGAAGGGAGTGCAGTTCGTATTGTGCACGTGGCACAGAACTCTATCCAAAAAAAGCATATGGGCTCCCATGTGCACTGTGTGACCCAGACTTGGCATATGATTGTGAGTGCCTACAATGAATCTCCTTAAAATTTCGTCCCCACCAGTTCTGTCCCAACCCCATTTTCCTGGACGATAGCCTCCCCTCGGATCATCGTCAAGCGGGCTATTTTAAGACCGGGTATGGAATTCAGCCCTGCTGGCCTCCCTGTTCCGGTGGTCTCTCCCCGCTCCCCACATCAACAAAACAACACATTGCTTCTCCTATCACCTGGCTGAGTGCAGGGTTTCCCCTCGCTGCTGAATTCCTCACAACAGCTGCCTCAATTAGCAAGGTTTAACAACTGACACTTCACTCCCCTGCATTTAGAAGGTCTGTGAACGTGTTGTGACATCACTGCCTACCCCCAAGGCCTGGGATGGCTCGCAAAATTGTTCTTCTATCCTGGGAACAGCACAACAGTTGTGTTGGAGTTTATTGGGTCGGTCTGTGGACAAACTGCTGTCAGCCACCCTAGTTTTCAGCCTAGTTTATCTCCAAGAGCAGATAAAATTAATGTTGAAAATTGTTTCTGGCATCCTTAGTGGTTCAGTGCCAAGGAAAGCAAAAGATAGGCTGGGCAAATAGCCTACACCTGCTTGTTACTGTGGAGCAGCAGTCACCACCATTTTAAAGCACCCACAGATCTACTGCAAGTATCTCAAATAACTGAACCATATCCTCAGCAGTTATGCAGGGAGGATACTAAAAGTCAAGGCGGCAAGCGCAACTGTGCAACTGAGGCCCCGCCCTTTTTTAATGTGTGGGGTGTGCATGAGACACATGGAAAAGAAGTGGGACTTCAATCACACCGCTGTGGCAGCCATCTTGACTTTTTTTGGACACCTCTGCTTATCCCTCTAAAATTTTTAATTTGTTTAACACTGCATTAATTTGGATTCAACATCACTGATTCTCTTCTGGCAAACCAGCTGAAAGCAGAACATAAAAAGGGACATACGATGTTTTCAGTGTTTCAATTTATCATAAGCAAGTAGTCTGCTCTTTTTTTGCAGTCATGAGATATGTCTCAAAGCAGTTCAGAATGAAAACAATAAAATGGCAGTCATGCAAAAACCATCATCTCCCATAAGATACTGTACAATAAAACACCTCCTACAACCCTACAAACACACGCACACACACACGCCACGCATTGCAGTTAAATGTAAATACATTTAGTCCATGGGATTAAACAATCTAGCTACGTGAAGGATTATATATTTCAACTCAAACAGTATACATTTTTGTGCTGACCCCTCCACCTCTCCCCTCAGTGACACATCCACTGAATTTGGCATGCCCCATCAAAGCACATCAGTATAATAGATCTGGGTTGTCATAAATATTTTGGCTTAAATTGTTTAAAAAAATGTGGCCCAAACACACTACACCAAAAACCATCTATATCATACCCTGAAGGGGAAAAGGCAAGTTACACCATGTAAAGTGGGGTGTTAAACCTCGTTCCTACAAGTGGTCCTGTGCTTTTGTTCCCACCTATTCCTTTCAATTTTAGACAGATGCTCCCTGTAATTCCGATCAACCCATTCTTATCATCTGTTGAATCTTAGATATGCCACTGCTTTCCTTAGTATCTTCAGCTTTGGAACAAACCCTGCAGCAGACGAATGGTGGACTGGGGAGAGTTAAACTTTATCTTCTCCAGCCACTTGGTTCGGGAATGGAGGGGGAGCCACACAGTGCCAATGAGAGCCTCAGGGAAACCTAATTTGCTGTGGGTAGGGAAGGAGAGAGCTCTACCCAGCAACAGTATAAAACAATTTGCCTTTCCGTGATGCTTCCCAAGTTTTAAGCGAGGGTATTACCCCCCATTCAGCTGAGGATCATGCGGTGCGCGCATTGTTCCCAGTGTCTCCATCCCCAACACAGACTCTCACAGCGGATTGTCTGAAGAGCTTGCATAGAAACAGAGCCATTCCAAAAGTGGGGTGCGGCAGAGGGGAGAGGAGGAAAAGGCTGGCCCTTCTCTTTGTCCCGCAATGAGATATGTGTCCAAAAAGGGTGGAGCGTTTGCCATCCAGGACTGAGGAGCCAGACTAGGCTGGGTGACAACAAAGCCGGGTCACACACACAGGGCTGTTGTTCCATTCAAATGTTTACCCCTTGAGGAGGGATTGGGGCGGGTTCAATGGCTCCTTTTGTAAGCAGCCTAGGAGCATCGCTGCCTCACCAAAAGGCCCCGGGATGATGTCTTTGGGCCTTTTGTTTCGGGGCAGCCAGGAGGAGGTCAAAGGTCACAGGAACCCAACAGGGGGACAATCTCCTTGTCCTGTGTTAACTGTTTTCACCCCTTCACAGCTGGCTAAGTGCTAGACAGGTTTAGGCACTCTGGCAGACAGACAGAGCACCCTCCAGCCCGCACCCGCTGCAGACCGCTTGGGACCGTCTGCGTCTGCCTGGCGCGAGAGACGGGGTGGGGGGCAGGGTGAGTTCACCGAGAAGCCCATGGAGCTTTGTCCCTCCTCTGTCAACTCACCCATTTTACGACTCAAAGGCTGAGATATGGTCCTCCAACCCACTTAACCAGGTCAGTTAAAGCAGTTGCATTGCCTTATATACTAAACATGGTTACTGTTAATCTTGGTTAATGAAGGAGCGGCTTAGCTTGATGTGCAAATCCAGCCCTTTGGGTTA